AAACATCGCTTTCCTTTTTCGTGAAATGTTTGTTCATATTCTTTACTATTTGGTGATTGTTGGTCTTTCTTATTGATTCTCAGGCTATTTACATATTAAAAGAATTCATTATATGAGCAGGAAATCTCTTCCTTAGGATGTTGTGTTTTGACTCTTTATCGTGTAATTGTCCTTGCCAAAAAATGTTATTTTTGTGTGGTCTAAATTTTGTCTCATTTATAGAAAGGACATTCTTATCTCTGAGATTATGAAATATTCTTCTATGGCATCTTCTAAAATTTTAAACGAAAAAGTTACACATTTGAAAAAAATCTCAGAATTTTAAGTTGTGAGGTAGGGCTCCAAATTTGTTTCTAGAGTATCAGATAGTCCTGACTACTATTTTATTTACTGAATGATTTATCATGGGTGCAAAACATTATAATTTTCATAAACATTTGAGCCTATTTCAGGATATTCTATTGTATCCCAATGTTTTGTCTATTCATATGTCAGTATCTCACTGTTTTAATTATTAGAGCTTGTAAGTTTTAATTTCTAGTGGGGCTAGTCTTCCCTGATTAGTCTTTTTAGAAATATTTCAGCTATTTCTATTTATTTTTCTATATAACTTTAGAATCAGCTTTTCTGATTCTGAAAACTCTTGTGGTTATTTGTATTGGCTTATGTTACGTTTATAAGTTGAGAGAGAGCTGACATCTTTATTATGATGTTAAGTCATCCTAGCTAATAAATGGTACGCATTTCCTGTAACTTCCTTGAATTTCCTTTTAGGTATTTCAGTAGGGGTTAAATTTTTTTCTTCATAAAGATCTTCTACATTTCTTGTTACATTCTAGGTATTGCATTTGTGAAAGTGATTTCTTCCTTTTTATCTTCCAAAAGTAGTTGGTGCTACTTGATCTCATTATGTTCGTTGTATCCAGTCACCTTATTGTCTTCTTTTATTGTCTTTTTCCAGTTGATTCTCTTTTGGATCATATCATCTGTAAATAAGAATACCGTTTACCACCTCCTTTCCAATTTATTCTTTCTTTTGACTAACTGTATGAGCTACGATCTCTAGAACAATGTTAAATTATAGTTATAACAATAGACATTTGTTTAGTTTTTTAAATTTAATTTGAAATACGAGGGTTTATCAAGCATCCATCTAATCCTATTTAAATGAGTTTTAAATCAGAATGATGTTGAATTTAATAAAAATGCCTTTTAAGTATCTATAGTGACAATCATATAATTTTTTTTTATCTACTGACATGTAGAAGTAAATTACGTTTCCCAAAATTTGAACCATATTGCCTTCCTGAAATAAACCTTACTTGGTCATAGTATATTAGCATTTTAACACACTGTAAGGTTCTGTTTGTTACTATTTTGTTTAGGATTCTGCATTGACATTCAGAAATGAGATTGATCAGAAATTTATTATGTTCTACTGGGTTGTCAAAAAGTCATGATGTATTTTTTGTTTTTCGTTGCAAAAATGCATCATGACTTTTCCGACAATCCAATATCTCTGTCACATTTTGATGTAAATATTGTGTTCATTTAAAAAAAAGATTTGTAAGCTTTCCTTCTTTTTCTGTGCACTAGAATATTTTCAATAGTATTAGAATGACCTGTTCCTTAAAAGTCTGTTAGAATGTCCCCAGGAAGTCTTCTTACTTTGATGGCTTTTGGCAGATTGACTCCTTGAAAGTGTCCTCTATTTCTTCTATAATTCATCTGTATAGATTTTCTTCAGTTTGGTAATTTTATTTTCCTCAAAAATCATCCACTTTCAAATTTATTTACACAGAGTTCAGCAAAGAAGTCTTTCATCCTTTTGATTTATTCTTTGTGATTATTTCCAACGTATTTCTACTTTAAATGTTTGTGCCTTTTCTTTTCTTTCTTGATTAGCTAATAATTACCTATTCTGTTACTACTTGTTTTAACATGGGTATCATGAGGGCAAAAAAAGCCTTTAAGACCCAAAGAATCAAATTCTGGTGCCAGAAATATGTACCCTATGGCAAAAAGCTGGCAAGTCCAGGCAGGAAGCCATCTACTACCTCTGCCACCTCACTAGGTGAGGCCTGGAGGGATCAAACTGCCACCATCACCACTACCACCGCCTCCACCACTACCACAACCCTCACTCCCACAAGCCCAGTAATGTTCAAAGCACAGTCACATACTTGGTCTCATTTGGTCCTAATAAAAGGTAGTCAGGTGGCAATAGCCCCTATTAGGTTTCACAATGGTTGTTAAAAGTCTTGATCAAGGGAAAACCACTCTCTGGGAGGAGTCAGGAAACTGGTTCTAGCTCCACTCCATCAGGTCTCTGACCTCCAGGGACTCAGCACCTGAACACCTAACAGGAGGCAGATCAGCACATCATGACTGAAGGTCTCTTCAGACTTCTAGGAAGATTTGAAACAGCTCATGGATGAACAATTGCAAAGTGCAGAGGGCTACTAAGTGTGATGCTCTGAGCAGATCAGCTGAATGAGTATAAAACCTAGAGTGAATGAATTGCCTCGATAGTGGGAATCTATTTTGTTCACACAGGGCCTTTTATCCTTTGAATAAACCTACAGTGTTTTGGGGCGAATGACCCATATAAAAGCAANGGCAAGTCGCAGAGGCCCTGCAAGAGTTCAGCCACAGTGCAACAGTCTCAGAGCCTTCCATCTCTCCAACCAATCTCCTGCTCCTCTGCTGGGCAAACTCTGGGCTCCGTTCAAACGTTATTCTCAGGACACCCTCTGCACTGACCAGTTGTCGTGCTGTTGCCCTTGTAGTCCTTCTCTGTCCTCCCCCATGGCTCCTTCCAGCCTCCTTCCCATTTGAAGCAGCCGCTCCTTTATTCTTGGAGCCCGGGACTCCTCTGAGTACAGAGACCAGAGTCTGCTCCCCCAGGGAGGGCAAGCTGCTCGACAGGAGAGTGGACGTTGTACTGCTGGCCCGAGACTGCACCCTCCCGGTCTCTCTGGGTCCCATGCAGCCACCTCCTACCTTTCTACGGCCGTTGGAGTCACACTGGTCAAGGCAGGAGCACCTGACGTGGCTTTGGACCGCTCCGTGAATCGGGAGTCAAACGCTTTCATGGGTTCGATCTTGGATGGGGTTGTTAACACGGAGGGGGACAATGCAGCAGGAGTCGAGGTAGCGTTCATGCTGAGGTGAGGGAAGAAGATGGCAGAGCATGTCAAGCACAATGCATCACGAATTTGGGAGTCTAGGATTTGCCTTACTTGGAGCCAAGTGGAAGGGGCACAAATATCAAACTTCCATAAACACAACTTCATGATACAATAATCTACTATTCCTAACTATTTAATATTTTCATGTGTTAAAATTCTGGAGTTTGGCTATCTGAGGTTATGAGCAAATGCACTCACATTCTGAGAGCTTCGGGGGCAGGATGAGGCCTATAAAGTGGTTCTTACAACTCTTTTTCCTCACCATATGACCCTATATCCACAACTTTAATACAGCACCCCAAACCACTCCAACCATCAGCTTTTCCCACTTTAATAGTGGGTCTACTGAGAAAACCCCACCTGGGGTCCTGAAGCCACTGCCTATTCCTGGCTTTTATCCTCCATCTTTGTGGCCCTTCCCATCTCACTGTGACAATTATATATTCTTCACACTCTCCTCCAAGTGCTCACCCCATAGTCCTTGCCTTCTACTCCACAGAGAAAGGAGAGCCCAGGCAATAAAGGCTGCAATAACAAAAGACCTCATCCCCACCAAGGCAGAATCACTCTAATAGTAATAGTGGTGTGTGCTAGGGTGACGGCTACATTTGGGTACCAATGCCAGCTGGAGTGATCTTCCTAAGGTGCAAGTCCAGAGCCTTGTGCGTCTCTTCTAGGGAGAAGCACAGGGTACCTGCTTTAGCACAGAAGCCCAGATTTCTCCCCCTTTACTGCCACTCCTCAGGTCTTGGGGTTCTGCTCTTGCTGCTGTCCCCACCCCTTTCCTCTGGTTAGACTATATGGGTCCTGGGTAAGGCATCCTCTAAGAAGCCTTCCTGAGACCTGCCCACCCACCACCCTTGGATGGCTAGCCATTTCAACCCAGGGAACCCCACAAGCCATCCCTGTAGCTGTGTCTGCCTTCTCCTTGGCTGGCCTACACACTCCCTGGGGACAAGGACCCACCAGTCAACCCCCTGCGGACGTCTGGGCTCGAGCACAGTGTGTAACCCAGAGAAGTTGCTGGGCAAATGTTTGCTGAGTAAATGGCTCCTGGCTCTTATTCATGCTCCTCTGATTCTTTTTTACTTCTAATTTGGTTTTCAGGTAATAGTTGGTGAAGACATAGGCTACCTGAGCAATTAATTCTGAGGGTGTGAGGGGAGTCTATGCCCCAGTACACGAGCACCTTGTGTGAGATGACTGGTGTGGCAATGCTCCTGACAGTGCAATAGCAGCCTAAACCACCTCCAGTGTAGACCTGACAGGTGGAGCTGACCCTGTGGCAGGTGACGTGTCTCTGGCTGGCTCCTACCCTGAGTAGCCCAAACCTGGGACTGCATCTTCTTCCGGGACATTAAGTCCTCACAGCCCTTTACATCAGAGACTCACCTGAACAAGGCCTCCCGCCTAAGCAGGCCCTCATCTGAAATCCAGTATCCTTTTTTTCTTTTATTCTTTTTTTATTGAAGGCTCCATGAAGTGTCCCTGTAGCTGTGTCCAAACCTGAACTTTCCCCAGAGACAGGAGCAAGCCTTGGCGCCCACTCACCTGTCCTTATTGACAGAATCACCCGCAGGCCTGGTGCCGGCTGCTGCCACGGGCTCTGCGGAAGGCTTCGAGGCGCCAAAGGAGTTGGGGGTACTGGAGTCCAGTGGCAGTAGCTGTGGACTGCTATGAGAGGAGAGCATGGTGCCTGCCAGGGAGCCTGAGAGTGGGATGCTGTTAAAGAACGCCGTGGAGAAGTCCCTGTTGTCAAGAAGAACAAAGTCAGCCTCAGAAATCGGATACCACATCAAATACTTTATACACATTTTTCTGGGTCCCAAGGTAATGTATTTTCATGGAAGAAAATTTGCGGAGTTACAGAAAAGTAAAAAGAAAACTAAAATCACTTCATACACCATGCTTAATTGAATCTAAGGTGAACTGGTACTTCATATACCACTAAGAAAGAATTGTTACCAAAAGTAATTGCCAGATGCCACTGGTTATAAGATGTACCTGATCTCAGAGGTGTTAAAATGTGCAAACATGTGTCTCAGAACTAATGAAATGCAGCATACTGAGTGGGCCTCCCTTTCAATATGGGCTGTATGGATGTACCATAATTCACCTAACCAGCCTCTACTGAGAAACAACCAAGCTGGGCTGTCTCCCAGCCTCTTCAGTAATAGACACTGCTGTGTTAAGGCTGAGGATCCTGGGCCAAACCAGCCAGGTCTCACTCCTCTGCCATGCACAAGCTCTGGGACTTTGGGTACTTCTACCACTCTGTACTTCAGGTTCCTATCTGCAAAACAGAAAGCAACAGGACCTTCCCCATGAGGTTGCTGTCAGGACTAAAGTTGTTAGTGTAGCAAGCACTCTTAGAACACATAGCTGCTCAAAGATGCCCATTATTATAATTGT